TCTTAAAGAAAAATATTTTTTATTTTTTATTTCAAATAAATCTAATAAAAATAATATAATTATATTATTTTTATTTATATAATAAAAATTTTTAATTATAATATAATATTTATAAATTTTATTATTATCTTTTAATTATAAAATATTAATAAATAATTTTGATTTTTAATTTAATCAAAAGTAAATAAAAAAAGAGATAAATATATAAAATATTAATAAATATTAGATTATATATACTATAGATATTTTTGATAACAACAATAATTTATAAATAATTAATTAATATACTAATTGTATTAAATTATTATATTTAATTAAAAATAAATTAATGTACAGTATTTTAAATTATAATTTAATTAAAAGAATATACAGTATATACAGTATAATTATTAAATATTATTTTTGAAAATAATAATTAAAAAATTAGTAAAAAAAACAAATAATATTTTTTGAATTTTTAAAAGAATATAAAAAATAATCAATATACAGTACAGTATTTTATATTGGTTTTCAAATTATAATCGATTATTCGAATATTTAACGTATACAGTAGATGAATTAGCATATTTCTTGTTTTGAAAAAAATTGGTTATACAGTATTAATATTTATTGTATAACAAAAATTTTAAAGAAATTAAACACAATACGTAAATAAAAACAAAAAAAAAAGATTTTAATGATATTAGTAAAAATAATATTTTTTTATCACAGAAACTGGTTTTATGTACACGTACGTTTTACAATTGATGAAAGTATGATGATTGAATTCATATTAAAAAAAAAGATAAGCTGATAATCGAGATATAGTGCGTAAATCAAATAAATCAAATATAACCGTTTTAGCCTCATTGCACGTGCTAAGCGTATTTCGCTTTCCGTGCCCTTGTTTGATCCAGTGAAAACAACGCTATTCCCGGCACATGTGAAAAAAAGCGTCTATGCTCATTTTGGAGAAATTTGATATACTCATTATAATAAAGAGGTTACACGCACTAGAACTTTCCAAGGTAAAATCATGTTTTCTAGAGATTAGAAGAATTGATAGTTTTTTTTTTTACAGGTAAGAGAAAGTCTTGCGAAATGGTGACGCATTTGGTTAAACACAAATCTTATTGAATTAAGTTAATGCACCTTGGTAATTTATTTCTCTCAATATAATGATTACGTCGATTTTTAACCTGATAAGAAATTGACGAATTGATAACTGTTATTAATACTGTAAATTAGGGACTAGTAACTGATGTTCATTATTCAACGGTTTCCCTCATTTCGTGATTCTAGTTACAAAGATAAGTTAGTGCACCATTGCGCTATGATGTACGGGCATTTCGATGATATTAAGGCGCATAAGAACGAACGAGATTCGTGCGTTCATCTTGATGAAAGGTGGCTCCCGCGAAGGACGATCCGATTAATTATGTTAATGATGTTTGTGAAGTAACCAACTCCAGAATAGGGGCAAAGCATTCCCCGCATATCGAAAACCCCGGTGCCGTCGATGGGAGCATACGCACGATAGATGCACGATAGGCGTTACGAAAGCGTGATATTGCCTACCTTTCCAATAATGGCAGGCACACATCAAACAGTGCATAATGAATTATTATACAATCTATTCCCCGATAATATCCAATATAGATTTTTCCACTATGGGAAATTTGGCGTTGTGTGGAAAAAAAAAAAAACATCATCATCTGATTGTTTTTAACTCATCCATCCACATTCAAACCCTGGCACTTTATTGTTGGATGTGGACCCTTAAAATCATCGGAACCCTTGTTCATTATTTTGTTTGATTTTCTATTACTATTGACCGACCGCAAAAGAAGTTTGTTTTTTTGTTTGTTTGTTTTATTTCGAGCGCAAAAGCGAAGGGAATCAACTGAATTTTGATAATTGGGCGCGTGGATCTTGCTTTTTGAAGAGCCGTAGGATACTGAGAGTTCGTCAGATGAGAAATGGCGGGTGCAACCTATATCCAAGTTACACCACACATGTCATAACACTTTTGCTTGCAATGTTTATACTGTAAATGTACAATGTGAAAAAAGAAGAATCTACGTAGTGTTCGCAGAAGTTTTGTACGTGCATGCATATATCGGTTCATGATTATCAGGAATTGAAAAATCGCTGTTGAGTTATCTTTATATGGTTGCAACAATATTGAGGTCTTCGTGTATTGTTTTCGTTTCTTTGCTCGGGGGGGCCTCAAGAAAAACCAAGATGTCTGAGATGCGATATTGTTTCTTGGCCTATTGTCCCTACTCGGCCGATGAAACGAGGATTTCGGGTTTTGGGGGTTTTTGCGATAAGAAAAAAAAAATTTTTTTTTTTGTGATACTCTGAGCACAATTTTGGTTCGCCATTCAAAGCCGAACTTCCATCTCCGCTCTTGTGCTATTTGTCTCTTGTTGAACTGTTTTGGATTCTACTTTTTAAGTGACACATTAGCTGCTTGAATTTGTACCCATTCATTATCTATCTTTCAAACAATCGATTACCAAATTTATAATTCGTCAGACGCTATTTTTTCTTTATTGTTTACATGCCAAAATTCTATTAGTGAAGGAGGAGTCGACATCGACTCACTTTCAACACTTGTAATGATAAGAAAAAAAAAATTTTCGTTTTAAAAAAAAGGATCAACCCACCTCAAAAATCTTTATTTTTTAAAAAACAAATAACGAAATGAATACAAGTTTGCGCACAAAGCATTATGAATAAGAAAGATAATGGAGGCATCAGAAAATTACTTTTGATTTTACGAATCAACAAGGGTGACATTGTGTAAATAAAATAAATATAAAATACATGTGTTAATAATAAAAAGAATAAAATAAAAAAAAACCAATACTATTTGATAAGATAAAAATGTCTGTGTATGTACGAAACTTGAAACCTTTGAAGAAATCGCAAAATAAATATTTTACAAATTATCCTGACACCAAATAGATGAAGAAAAGTAAAAGTAAAAAATATTTAACATAAAAAAAAAAAAGTTTAGAAAAAGAAGAAGAAACATGCTCAACTGCGCCATCTCATTTTTGCGACACCATAACTATTCACGCCTACGATCAAAATGAAAAACAATACATTGAAAGGAGATGTGTATGCGTGTGATTTGTAAATGTAAAGAGGAACATTGTTTGATACTTGCACTAGTGAAAGTGAAATTGTATGGTTCGGGAGATTTTTTGGGCGATGTCTCGCATGTTATTTTTGCAAATATGGAGAAAGCATAGGAAAAGTGTGGAAGCAAGCAAGTGCAAGAAAAAGAAATTGGAAGAGGGAATGAAAAAGGAAAGTACAAAAAACAATAAAAATTTTTTTTTTTTTTTTTCTTTTTTATATAATTTTTTCTTTTTTTTTTTTTTCAATTTATCATAATTTTTTTGTGAAATTTCATGATGAAGAATAATGCTTTTCTAATATTTGGTACTCGTAGTCAAGTTTTCTTCTTAATTTAACTTCGTCTCTTGTTGTAAATGGGCGATCAAGATATTTCCACTCTTTCAAATACGAAGGACATTTGCGAAGAATGAATGGGTCATACTTGAGCGAAACACCTTCAGATGTGGCATCGCTGGAACTACTGTAGCCGCTCTTTATGCTCATGTTATCGGGAACAACCTCCTCCGATAATTCGTCTATAATTTCACCAAGTCTTTGTTTTCTATAACTGATTATGTATTCAAGTCTTCGTTTATCATTATTTTCGAGTCGTTTCAATTCTTCGAGTGATTCAGTTGTCCTGTAGAATCCATTAGGCCTCCTGTTCAAATACGAATTACTGTGTGGGTAAAAGAAAAAGAGTTAGATTTGTCTTTTGGAATGTTGTACAAAAAAAGATTTGAAGGAGAAAGACGAGATACATACGAGACAAAACGGCACAGATAACAGTCGGTACACGCGCGGACGCGATATTGCCAATAGATGCGCACCCAAGAAACCCTCAATCCACAAAATTGACACCCTCTTTCAAGCGCAGTAAGCGTTAAAAACTCTTGTTCTGTCATGCCCTTTGGGAGGGGCACATCGAGAAAGGGAGAATGCTCGAGGCGAGAGATGCGCCATAGTTCTTGTGTTTGTTTGTTTTCAATGTCAAGTAATATTGTTCGGAGATGTTTATTCACACCAGCCAATGCAAAAATATCTGTGGGCTCTAGATTTTTGCAAATCATTAAAAGAAACTCAATTGGTACATCATTTAATCCTTTGAAAGAAACATATGGCTTTGCGGTGTTCTTCTTTTTTGAGAACGATGAGAAGAAGGCAAAAGGATTTGAGAGAAAAGACTCTTGTTGATGTTTGGGGTCATTCAAAGGATTAAAAAGGAATTTTATTATTGGGAGGAGGGATTTTGGTACGTTGGCAAACTCGTCATCATCATAAAATTGTTGCGTTGTCATTTTGTTTTATATGTGTATATAGAAAATATTATATAAGTAAAAGATAATTAGAAATATTCTATATCTATCAGTGTTCGTGTGACCCAAGAAAAAAAGAAAAAATCCTCGAAGAAAGGGGGGGGGGGGTATTTATAGAATTTCTTGAATTTGCGAAGAAATTTTTGCAATCAGAAATTTTTGTGTTTGTGAAATCGAAAGAAATGTATGGTGTTTATATACAAAGCAAAAAGGGGATGTGTGCCGACAACAAATGTTGTGCTTGGGTGTGAGGTGGCTTTTTTTAGAAAATTCTTGACACAGAAATATATAATACACACAAAGAAACCCAATTGAGTATTGTGCTCAATAATTAACGATAAAGTCATCATCAATGAGAAAGGTCTGTATAAATAATAGTTCACACATATTTTATACTATCAAACATAAATAACAAAGTGTGAAATGTAGTTTGTAATTACCGGTGTGATAAAAGGAAATGATTGAAAGTAGATAAGTGAAACGATTTATTTACGCTTATTTTACAGTAACACTAATAAAAATTGATTCTCTTAGTTTTTGTCTATCGTATTTTAAATACAACAGAAGTCAGTCAGTCAATCACGATCCCATCTCATTGATAGGTGTTATCGACCACATAATATGTAGGGAGAGGGAGAACGCCAAAAAAAAAAAAAAAAAAGAAGACCATCAAATATCGTATATACATACATATGTGTACAAAATAAACAAGTAGCAAAACGTGTATTCGGCTAACAGCTTTATCAACTCTCATCTTTCATCTACATCATTTCTTATCACCGACAATGTTGTCCGTACACCACACAAAATAGGTTTATTGTTAAACGTGAAACCACTATACAAGTACACGTATGTCTTTGGTGGAAGAATCAGTAGGAATTGTTAATGGTATTGGATAATGCGGGGGGGGGGGGAAGTAAAAAGCGTGTGTGTGAGTCGATCCATCTTAAAGATGATGAAAATTGGTCAACAAGAAATCTCGATGCATTCATTCATTGATTACCGACGCGAGGTTTGTTTCCTGACGCAAAAGAAGAATGGCTCAATGCAATCAGTTCACCTTGACCTCCTTTGCCGCTACGACTGATTTTCCTCTTTCCCTCGATGTTTATAAATCATGTGTTGTGTTGACCCTTCCTTATGTCGGACGCTGAATCCCGATCGAAGATTCCTAATGAGACGCGGTGTTCGTAGAAGGTGACATGATCCACAACACAACCTAATTGTGAGCTCTGAAAACGGCGAATAACCCGAAGGTCACGAACGTCGCCCATTTTAGCTTCCCGTGCCGCGATTATGCATTCTCATTAATTCCTAATGCAATGGTGCACCAACAACATTTCAACAACCAAACAACTATTTATTTATTGTCCTCGACTCATTTAGAGTTTTGTGTTTGATCTAAATATAGGTATGCACACAGATCGTCAATGATAAAAAAATACAGTGTGTGGCTGGTGCAAGCAATGGGACAACAATGATTAATGATTCAATCATTTGCACATTCGCAACCAGAGAATATCATTAATGAATAAATGAGTCGGCAAAATACAATTAATTAATTAATTAAATTATTATTATTATTTTTTTTTTTTGTGCCAAGGACAAGTTTGTGTATCACTTGCTACATTCTTTTTTATATTCTTTTTTTATATTCTCTCGTGTTTGCCGAGAACCGTTCCAATGACTTTTGGTGGTGGATCTTTTGTTTGTAATGTTTGTTTTTCAATGATTTGCCCACATTCTCCAATCAATCAAGCTTATAGATGAAGGTGATGAACGAAAAAAGTAAGAAAACGCCAAATCGAAAAAAAAAAAGATGAAACATCACAATACCACGATTACAGGACGTTTCATCATTGGATCGAACTTTTTACAGAAATCTGATTGATTGCGCTTATTCATTCACGCGATGTTTATTTGTTCAGAGTGTGAAAAGGGTTTAAGGAAGATTGGTGTGTGAATTTGTAACATCCGATAGGCATAATAAGAATGACGATGCGAGAGGTATAATAGGAAAGTTAAATATTATTAACAATCTTTTTTGGTTCTTTTTTAAGAAAGGATGATCAATTGGTCGCGTTCAACGGTGTTCAACATCGGGAGCAAACTCCAGCAATAATCAATTTTTGATGGTTCAGGGTCCGTAGATGTTCTAAATAAGTGAGGCAAACGTATATGCGTACATGAATGAATGAAACTCGACGGAATTCATCAGAGAGTGCAGAATGAATTAGTTTATCACTTGATTACTCAATCGTACTTTCTTGTCTTCTAATTACAGCTTATAAATTCCAAAAATGGGAGGGTATTACCAAAAAAAGAAAATCAGGGTTATGTGCTATAAATACACAAAGCAGAGTATCACACGTTTTTCTTGTAAATTGAAACTACCGCAGTGCCCTTAAAATTCTTGTCTACCGACCCGTATTTTACCGATTCGATTCGAACTTACCATATTGATCAAGAAAAAATAGTAAAGAAAGTGGATGGAATTTATTCGATCATGAGAACAACGACATGTTTTTTAAAAGTAGCACACCACCCAAACCGTGCGATAAAGTATTAGTAAAGATGAACTAGAAATGTCTTATGTACAGTATTACTATTATTATATGATGCACGACGTATGAACCATACTTGGTAACCAGAGGGTCTTAATCCGCACATATGTGACATGTTTATACATATCGTGTATAAAGGACATGTGTTTTACCATCGCTTTCGACATCGAAAGATTACGTGAGGCTGTGACTGTGTTCAAGGATCTTGGATATACTGTACTGTACTATATAGCATACAGTATATCATCATAGTCATCATTGTTATTTTATACATGCATCAGGCATGAGAGTATTTCTCATGATAACGAATCGTCAAAGTGTAAAGTGTAAAAAAGTTTATTTTTTCTTAATCAATCTCGCACGCCCTATAATTACGCCTATGCTTACCAGAACCATGCTCAACATTGATTTCATACGCACATACAATTTCTCATACTTCACGCATGCGCTGTTCATACATACAATATCTGCATATAAAAATTTCGGAACCGTTTGATTGGTTGGCAATTTCGAATTTAACCATAAGTTTAGTTATCAATAATGACAACATAAAAAACTTAATTATTGCCCATCATTTAATTTAAACTGCTTATTTTGGAGCCTGTTGACATAAATGGACATTAATTAAATCATCGATGCAGCTGTTGGCCTTGGGCTAAACCAGTTATGGGTTGGTAGATGAGACGCGAAATATCGTAGAAAAAATTTTTTTCATTCATAAACTCTCATTGACACGAGAGGATTAAGTAAAATAAGATTAGGACAAAAGATGATCACGTTACCTGATTGGATCGTGTACGTGAAACATCATAAAACCCGTACTTGCTACGATTCACGAAAATTACTGTACTTTCTCAACAATAAATGAATGACGGACGACGAGTTTCACTTTTTTCTTACGTGTGCAGCCTTGAGAAAATATCTTCTAGTCGTTCGTTCTCGTGTGATGAACGAATGACGTTATCCGTCGTTTTACCGGCGTTATCGAGGGAGGGGCGCGCCGTAAGATGTTTGTGTAAAGTAACGAATTTTTGGAAATTCGTGCACGTAAACCAACGCACTGGGTATACACCGTGACAACTGCGATATACGACTTCTTTTTAATCGTTTGATGTTAGAATTAATAATTAATCTGTGCACAAAAAAAAAACATAAGGTATTCTCGTAATTTTCAGTTTAATTAATCTGGTATCCCGTTGAACATGAATTCATTACTTACGGTCTCGGATTAACTAAGCAAAAATCATATTTTGTTCCTTTTCTGGAACGATCCGGCATTCGCATCATCGGGTCGATCCCTCCTTTGTTAGATTGCAACGTACAACAAAAGATCCAAAAAAGAAGAGATATGTGCTTCGCTTCACACAACTTTATTTTTATGTTGTGTGTGATCAACTTAATTGGACGTCGGTGTGGCAAGTCCATCGTGAACCACACTCGAGGGTGGTTGCGTTTTGCCGTTGTGACCAACGCCTCATCACTCTCAAGACTTCTGCTAATAGACGCCCATTCCATTGTATAACAATACATATTCGGGATGTCTTATTTGTAATTACCGTTTTAGCTCCTGCACGTATTAAATATTTGGGTTTTCTAGGCTACATGCTATGCGCGCACATATCCTCCTATGGGTGTCATGTTGTATGTGACAAACGAAAAAAAGAATGCGCTAAGCTTTTTTAATAGTAGACAATTGAAAAATGACGCATGAAGCAGCAAAACATGGTGGTCCACGAAGAAGAAGAAGAAGAAGAGGAGGAGGAGGAAATGTATATTTGATTGAACCTCACAAAAAAAGAAGTCTTCCTTTGGGATGCAGGTCAATGCATGCACGAAACCCCATTGCACTTTTTAAGGTATTAATACCATTCAACCATTCATTAATTTAAACCCATCCGGTGCCGAAAAACGAGATCATTTGGTAACATCGATGTCAGGAATAACGATGTCAGAAATAACGATGTCAGAAATAACGATTTCACTCTGTCATACCGACGTTCGCAAATTCTCAAGGTCTGTCTCTCTACCCTCGAATTATCGAGTCCAAAAAAGATTTCCTATTGTTGGTCTGAGACCATGAGTCGTGAATACACAATTGGGTCACGAGCTTTTTTACTTATCAATCGTGCAAAATTTGCTGTTCACAATACAATAATATACACAATGATAATACTTTTATCCGAGTCACGACTGACTGACTGACTGTGATAACGAAAAAAGAGGTAATGTCGCCGACCTGTTTGTGCGCATGACGTACGTGCGTAGGTCAGGGGATATTTACAATGAGGTGAAAATGCACAGTACAACTAACAAATTGTATAAACCGGAATTTAAACAAGATATTCGGCAAGGGGGATGTGATTCACGCAGGGCGTTGTGAACATACTATGACATAAATATTGCTTCTCCGTGAGGGCATTTATTATTATTATTCATTGCACATCTATCTCGCATAACGAAAATCTTGCACACTGAAAAACTCGCCTGAAAAAGGTTGATTTCTTTGACAATCTTAGCATTAAACACAATGTCATAATTTGGCATGTGGGTCATAAACGAGAACAGTCTAATGGACAGTAGGATAGACCTGTACATCAATAATAATAATAATAAGTGTGTTATATCGGCATTTCTACTTTACCTTTTTTTTTCCTGTTTTGTTTTGTTTTTTCTTTTAGAACCAACCTCCTGAATGAACATTTCCAATTTTAACGTTTCCTCAAATTCACTTGTGATCCTGGACCATCATTCTGAGACCAATTTATGGTGAAGAAGAACCTTTTTTGGCATCAACACTAAATCGGAGTTCGAGAATTGAATTCCTGAAATTAACCAGAAGATGGTGAATCGGTAAAACAAGAAGCTCGAAAGAAGGCACGGTCTATTCTCTTGGAATGGACGGAAAAGGGAACAAATTATCATAATGACGATCGAAATTGATATTATTGTTCGTTAGCAGCTGATGAAAAACATAATATGAATTATTCGTATTGTTAAAATAAAAAACGACTAATTGTGAATGGGTAAACCAAGAATTCTTCACACCGGATGTTTGCACAAACAATCAAGCCACACAGTGCATTTATTTATTTGTTATTTAAAAAAACACAAATTTCATTTTGGGACTGTCAATTGAACCGCTTGTATCAAATACCGCCAATACTTTCGTGAACGATGTGAGCAAGGATATGGAAACTTGGCGTGGCCTCAAGTCGTAACGTATGGAAATTGTTTTGTAACATCAGTTCCGCCATTCGATGATTGTTTTCTTAATCCGGACCTTTTTCTCGTGTGTACGAAGATTTATTTGTGCTAGGGATGTGTATATACTGTATATACTGTAAAATGATCTCTCTCTGTTAGATTAGCGACGCGCGAATTTAATCGACCAACCGTCGTATGATTAGAACCTGAGACGAACGCCTTTTAATTTTCAAGATCACAAATATCTTTCAGGGGAGGGAGGGAGGGAGGGGGGATGAGATCCGTGATCCAATTAACGCCACAAACGCTAAAATAGATGCGTCAACTGCAAATGGCGATCCTAATTCTCACGTCGTTATCCTTAAGGGAATTTTCAATCACATTTTACTATGCCTTAGCCAAATAGCAAATTTTAAATGTATTTCATTAGTCACTACGTTTCGGGTGGGTTTAAAAAAAGCAAATCGATTGCCAATTACTTATTTATTTGTCATTATTGTTATTGGTTAAAACATAAGATGATTCTCTAAAGATTCCTTCGAAACCAGGATATTGTTCAAGCGCACTGTAAATTGGTTATCAGAAATATATATATATATTGAGATTTAACGGACTTTACAGCAAAAAAAAACCCCCATTGTGTCTTTGGCAAAATTTTAATTGGCATTACCTTTATCGCATTGTCTGGACCTTGATTTTTTTTTTGATTTACCATACATGAATGAATGAATCACGGTACCAATTCATAATTTCATAATTTCCGCAATTTTGCGGTGATTATCCATATTAGGTAATAATTATTTTGTCAAATATAGTTGATTACTAACACTAAAAGGTTTTTTTATTGTTTTGGTTTCACCAGCATTTCTTTCGTTGTTTCAGTACGGATTTTGATTAGTTGACTAATGAGAACAATGCAAAAGTGTAGGCAGCTAAAGATTTGTATAATGTATATTTGTGCCTCGCCAACATAAATATTTACCAATCAACTCATTATCATCCTTGTGAAATTTTCATAATTATTACATAAATATTATGAAAATGCGTCTCATTAGAAAACCAGTTTTAGGTCATTTTTATTAAAAAAACAGTTCGGGGTAGTTGATTTTTTTTCTCCGACATCTACGGTATTTTTTGCTCGTATACTAATTTAAGGAGAAAAAAGGTTTCAAGAAACTTCTGATCATGTACTTTTGCACCAGTGTGAACTTGTCGTTGAGCTCCAATTGTTTTTTTCTATACCTTCGTGTGTCTTTAAAATAAAATAAAAAAATTTACCACAGTTTTATTTACCTTTTTTTGCGTATACTAAGTGTATGATATTTGTTCTCGTCTTCTTCCCCGTTATTCTCACAACGTGTCCTTGTTTTCGATAATCTCCGCCTTACACAAAATCATTGATTTGGACGCACAAATTTAGTTGTAACTGATTATATGAATGTCCATCCGTCCGCACCACACCACACCACGCCAAGGTTCCGTATTTAGAGGAAGATTATTAAGCCGCAATCTTGGCTGAAATCTGTAATAAGGCTATTCTGAGATCACGCGATCATAAAGGCACATGAACATAGTTACTGAGATGACTGTGTGTAAATAAAATCTTCACCTTCTTTTATCAACATACTTTGTGCCTACATCTCTGTAAGAATACTAGTTCGATACTTCTTTGTAATTCGTTTGCACTCACCCGAGTGTCTCGATTCATGCGGCAAAATAATTAGATAGAATGTGGCAAAAAATATCGCAGATCACGAATTGTGTAGCAAATATTTTGTGGATGAATTATAATCAAATTCCGAAGTCAATCAAGTATTTTTTAATGTATTGAATAATTGGTTTTTTAAATTTATAATTGTTAGATATGTTAGGTACAGCATTCTATTTTATTATAGTTAATATTCTTATAGAGTAGTTTATTGTTATAAAAATAAAATAATTATAAAAGATATTATTGTAAGTAAAAATAAATATATAAAAGAGATTATGTAAATAAAATAAATATATAATAAATAAAATAATTCATTAATTATTTAAAATATATAATAATAGTAATAATAATAGTATTATTAATTGGTTAATTGATTTAGTATTATTCTTTTAAAACAATTAAAAATATATTTATAATATACTGTACAGTATTAAATATATTATTTCTATTTATTATTAATATAATTTAATAATTACAATAAATATACAATATTATCAATTATTTATATTGTTTATAATGTTTTTTTATAATTTTATAAATAATTATTTTAAAATTCTCATAAATAACAATTTTAATCCTGTAGATATATTGTAAAAGAAAATATATTTATTAATTAATTCAATTTTAGCTAAAATTTATAAATCAATCCAAGTTTTAATTGAATTAAAAAAACTTTTAAACAAGCTTAATAGTAAATAAAACTTTTAATGTATTAATTTACTTAAAGACAATTTCAAAAAAATATTTTTATAATTATATAATATTATTCTTAATAACAAACTAATATTTTAAAAATAAAAAAGCTTGACAATAGTACTTCTATCCAAAAAAATAATCTAGTTATATAAAATTACAAATACTTATCCAATATTATTAATTAAAACAATAAAAAAAAATTAAAAAAAATTATTAATATTAGATTATTAGCAACTCTTTTAAAAAATAATATTCTATTTAAGGCCAATTTTATAGATCTAATAGAACAAAGTATAATAAAACTATTATTAATTATAGTATCAATATTAAATATAATTATTAACTTTAACAATAAACTTTAAATTATTTTATTTGATATTATGAAAAGTATACAATACAATAAACTTATAATAAATAGTCTTAAAATAGCTTTTTAAAGAATAAAAATTCTAAACAAACTAATTAATATATTTTATAAGCTATTATATAAATGAAAACTTATTATTATAACAAACTTTAATAAAACAAATAAATTCATTATGACAAAAGAATTATATTAAAAGAAAATCATCTCTTTACTTTATAATTAATCTTTTACAATCCAATAATATTAATTATCTTCAAGTATCAAAATTACTTGTCAATTTTTTACAATATTTTTACTTATAATATATAAATAATATATTGCTAATAGTAAAATTATTATTCAATCTTTAAAAAACTATTGATATTTTTTGTTTCTTTCTTATATTTAATAATATTAGATATAATATAAACAAATTATATTATTTACAACTTTAGAAAACTATAATTCTAATAAAAATATTTTTTTAATATTTTTAATTTAGTAATTACTCCTTTTTTATAGAAAATATATATAAATTATCTTAAAATTACTTTTTAGAAAATGTAACAAATAGTCTATTTAAATATATCTTAATTAAAGACTTAAATTAAATTATTACAACATATAACAAATAAATTTGAAATAAATTAATAATTAAACAAGTCATAAACTAAATTATTTCAAGCAAACTTGACTATACCTTGTATTTAATATTATTGTTCAAATAATAACTTTTAAATATTCAAGTTATAATTTATTAAGAGAAGTAAATCTAACTATACTAAACTACTTTAATTAAAAAATCAAGATCTTTTACAATTACTTAATATATTATATTAATATATTATATAGTATAAAAAAGATCAAATTATAATTTCTCAAATATAATAAAAATCTTAACTATTAAAAAAACAATTGAATATGACTTAATAATCTGATTTAAAAGAATTCAACAAATCTTCAAATCTATTAGTATTATTAATAATATATTAGTTAGTAATAAGTGAAATCACATATCAAATATTATAATATTATAATGTTTTGTTAAAGTAAACAATCTATTGATTAAAAAAAACAAATATAATTATTTCTTTTTGTTTACTTTCAAAAGCAAAAATTTTAA